TTTTCTTAATAACTATAATTTAAACAGAGGCTGACACTATTGTTGCTATGAAGAGCATCCAAAGAAATAAAGACAAATAATTCATGAGTTTCTAGAGCAACACTTTACTGTAGGAATCTATTGACAAGAACATCAGATCTCTAATTTTTTTTCTTGATATATACACAAATTCTCTGAGAACTCAGGTTTTGGGGAATTCTCAGTAGTGTCCTCCAGGTTTTCCAGTATTACATAAGTAAAAACTATCCAAATGTAAGTTGTTTGCTATACAACAACCTTGATATTGCAGAGAAAGACTTTTGAGAAAAGATTACCTCAGTGTTAAAGAATCTGTAATTAATGTATAGATTTTGTTTTCTATAGCCACTGGCATGAGACTAAGTATAATTTGGATTTTTTTAAATAAAATGAGATAAATTAATTAATTTTTTTCTGGCTTGCACTACTGCTTGTTCTGTTTTTTAAAGACATGTTGTCAATAGATATGTCTATTCAAAAGAAAAAAACATTATTTTATTGCAGGTTATTCAGCATTTTATATGACTTAGAGTCCCTGATGGGAAGGATCAGGGTTATTATGAACTTGCCCCTGAAATTAAGCATTCTTCCATCAAACTAGATGAAACTTTCTCCTGAATTCTTATCATAATAAAAATACCTGCATTAGTCAGGATAGGTTAAGTTATGCTGCAGTAACAAATTAACCCTAAAATTTAGTGGCTTAACACATGGGTCTATTTCACTTACATGTGAGAAGGTAGCTTTGTTCCACATAGTAATTCAGAATATCAGGTTGACAGGCTCCAGTATCTCTCCACAGTTGCCATGTCAGGAGAAGAAAGCATCTAAAGAACATGCACCCATTTTGCTTCACTCTGCCCAGAAGTGACACCGTTAATTCTATCCATAGCCCCTTGACTAGAACTAGTCACATAGACTGTCTAAGGGCAAGGGGACAGGAAAATGTGAAGAGCACAAGGATATTCAGTGAATGATAAATATCTCTGCTACAACCCCCAAATTTCTAAAGCAGTAAAATGCACTCAATCACATTCCAGTACTTTTATCCCCACCTCCTCTCCCAGGACAGTGCAATGTAGAGGAAGGAGTACGAACTGTGGGGTAAGACTACCCTGAGTTTGAATTCTAGCTGCTGTACCTCATACTAGTTGTGTGACTTTCAGCAAATTATTTTGTTTCTTTAATCCTCAATTTCATCATTTGTAAAATGGGATTCCAACGCCTACCTTTTAGGGTTGTTGCACCAATAAGAAATTATCTATGCAAACCCTTTGGTGATTATTACCATCGAAGGACAAGAAAATATTTAGAGCAGTAATTCTCAGCTCCAATCCTGCAACACCTCACTCAAATTATCTTGAGGAGTGTTGTAACATTTTCAAAACACTCTTTAGCTAAGATTATTTTAAATTTCCTTTACTTACTAAAATAAATTCTCCACAGATCACTAGAAGTAGGATTGATACTGACATCACTCTTGGCGAATTATGGGAGAGGTGAAGTTTGTCTTTATTATTTAACCTTTGCCCCTTCTATGGTATCTTCTGCCATACTCCAGTCCCAGGCTTTGGATTAGCTTGGTATGATTCTCAGTTTAGTCACTCTCGGTAAATTAGTTAAGCATTCTGAGCCTGTGTCCTCATCATCAGAGTTGGGATAATCGTGATTACTTCACAGGGTTGTTTACAGAATCAAATCTCAAATAAAGTCCTCAGCACAGTACAACTGTGTTCTAAGTTAGTTCCTTGTGATAATACCTGAGTTTGGGGGGAGAGGAGGCTATAAGTGAAAAATATTAGAGCTGTGTCACAAAAATCTTCATGAGACAATGAAAGCCCAAGTCAACACTGGGTTGTAAACTTACCTAACAGAGAATGGCATACATTAGGGTAAGAGGATTCATCTACCCCTAGACATATAGAATTAAAACAAAATTAACTAAGAAAATTACACATAAAATTCAGATTTCTGACTTCTTTAAAAAATCAGATCTGTCCCCAATGATAACTGTTGTGCTCTCTATTTGCCATAGTACTCTCTATTCCCTGTTTTACATCTAGCTGGCTTTACTCAGTGATCTGCTTGACTGTTATAAGAATTTGAGTTTATGACCTCTGGACAATAGGTTTAGGAAAGTGATCATGATGATGGTGATGACAAGGGTAAAGTTGGTGAGGGAATTTGTAAGCCATTTTCAATGATCCAAAAAGTCTGTTGTCAATGATTATATTGTTAACCTCTAAAAGACTGCACAGGTTAACTAAAGTACTAGATTTCTTTGCTTTTAGGTAGATTTACATGAACTGGATAATTGTGTTGTCAGGAAAAAAATTTAGATTGGCAAGTAGATATCATCGATAAATATTTTTAAAATTGGGAAAATAGAGTACTATTATTTAATAAATAAAGTTTGCTTGATAAACTAGTTTTTTCAAAAAAATGGGGCCTGAGAAAGAGAAAAATCATGTAAAATATGTCCTTATTGGTAAAAAGGTGAAAAGGGAGCAACTGCCTTTGTCTGTCTCTTTTCCACTGGTATTTATAGTCCTAAGAGTCAAAAACCAGAAGAATAAATGTTAGAATTTCAGGTATCTCATAGTAGGTTTAAAAGACATTTTCAGAAAAGCTATGGGGGATTTTTTTGAATTTCGTGTCCTTCTCAGTCAGCCTCTAGTCTAACTTCTAATTTTAAACAATAGACATAGTTTTGAATACAAGCTCTGTTTGTTCAAAACTGTTAAGACAAAATGAAATGCAATGACCATTTGTGATATTGCTGTGCTCTGTTAAAACTAGTTAATATTGGCTGTGCTAATGTACAAGGTCACCGTATTTTATAAGGGTGAAGAAACTCTTCACTAATGACCTGTAATTCTCAAGGATTGTCACATCCTAGAACAAAATTGATTCATAATTCTAGATGGGGCAAAGGTACTACATTTTACCTCTTTCATGCCACTTCCTTCCAGCATTTAACTAACCTATGTGGAAATCTGTTGAGAATTTTCAAGTAACATGAAAATTAATCCTAATCCTTCTCCTAATCCCATCTTCTCATTTTCCAAAGGCCCAAAAGAGGAAAAAAGACTTGCTCAAGGAAACACAGCCAGAATTGGAACTCAGGTTTTTTGATCCCAAGTCCAATTAGATATGAGAGATTTTTCTGCCTCCTCTTCCACTTTAAACTATCCCAAACCACCATTGCCTGAGATTTTTTTTCTTTATGGTCTGTAGGCTTCTACGTAATTGTCTAAACTTTCATATTTTCACAGTCCTCCTACCTTGTCCTTACGGCATTTTCACAGGCCTTCCAAATTCTACTTTGAGAAACCCTGAATGAGAGATATGATCTGAACTTTTCCCCACAAAAACCTGCTAGGGCCTCCAAGAACACTGAGAAGTCTGTAAACTATAGTCTTTAATGGTCTCAGCCTCTCTCTCCCTCTCTCTCTCTCTCTTTCTCCCCGCCCCACTCCTTTTCTCCTTCCCTCTCTCACTGTGGAATTTTTAGCTACTGCAATATTAGGCAAAATTTTTTTCTCTAAGATAGAGGAAGGGAGCGTAAACATTAAGGTGTTTCTAGCCAGGTCTGCTTTTCCTCCTAACCTGGGCCAGTTGTGTGGGAAAATGAAGCAGAGACTCTTATGCGGGACAAAATGAAGACAGAATGGAAGCAGAGAAAGTCGGTGATAAATTATAAAAGAGCTACAAGGTATATGAGAAGAGCACAGGCTGACTCATAATTGATATAGCTAGATCTATGTAGATAACTATGCAAAAGGAGGCAAAGGATACTTGTAAATAAACATGCTGACCAGCCCGTCTCCTGTTGTTCTCATCTTCATCACTACATAAAGCTCACAAAGTTTGTGACTGTCAACCACGAAAATAAGGACATATGCTCAGTTTTTAATATTAAATGTCTTCCATTTAAGGGAATATTTTACATTCTGAGATTATATCCCTCCTTTTTCAATTCTAAAACATTTCTTTTCTAAAACAACAGTGACGGTAGATGATAATTGATATTTTTTACATGTTCCCTTAGCCACTTAAAAATTTATCACTCTGTGTTGCTCCCTCCCCAATATTTTTTGTGTGTGTTGCACTGATGTGTTAAAATCTTACCTAGAAAAATATATTCTAAATGGTAAATGATTACCTACCTTTTTGGAATGAATCTCAAATAACATACCCTTTGAGAAGAAGACTTAATAAAATCTTTTCATTCTTAACAGCTTTCTCCCTAAAACTGTTCTGAAAGTATATTAAATTAGTCATAACAACTACTGTTAAGTACTTAATGAAACACTTCTTCATAATCTCTGACAATTTGACAGAAGTGAATTTAATAATAGCAATAAATACAGATGGGACTACATAAATCAAGGAGGTTCTGATAGACAATTCTTGCTGTATTAGATGCCATTTCAGTGTCCTCATCTGAAATCAACCAAGAAATTAATTATAATGATAATCATAGCAATAAAAAAATTAAAAATAAAATTCATACTCCTGGAAAGAATGCCTATGTTCTTTTTACCCACTGCCCACTTCACATGTGCCAGAGCCAATAGACCAAAGGCAGCTCCAAAGAGAAGGCAGGATTTAGGATGAGGAATGTGGCTTCTGACCTTGCTGTGAAGGAGAATGCAGCAGTAGCTTCCCTTGGGGTAGCTATATTTATATTATAGAGCAATAAAACGCAGTTGCACAAGCATTGCCCCAAAATTGCTTAAAGAGAAAGTAGGCTTAAGACCAAAGGTATTCTCAGTTCTAGAAAACCTTCCAACCTGCCTCACCTGTCTTCCTCTAAAGTGGAGGCAAATTCTCCTCCACTATTCCATTCTCCTCTGAACCCCTTCACCTTCCAGCACCTCCCATCTCAGGAGGAATTTGCCCGGGATGGGCTTTATGATGCATACCATTGCTACCCATCTGCTTATGACAAATCATTGGCCCCAGCCCAGAATACTTACTTACAAAGCTGTTTCTCTTTGAGGATCTTGACCCTTTATGCAGAGCTAAAGGCAAACACAAGGGCAATAAATTTGCCTGCTTTCTAAATCCCATGGCTAAACACTTTGAATGCATCAAGGTAGCTCAAGGGACAGGAAACCCAAATGTCTGTTAATCTCCTAACTGGAAAAATACACACCGATACATAGCAACAATAAAATATTTACAGCCACCTCTGCACTCCAGGTCTTACTTATTTGGCCACATTAATCATTTTTATTGAACATAGAGAAGATGTAATTCTTAAATCAAAATGCTTCCAGGATTCTTAAGGAGTTGAGCATTTCTTTTTTTGCAGGAAAAATTTGTTTTGGGTTGGAACAAGGGCTGGGTGGATTTCTTCTTGGGAGACGTGTTGTCCTGAATAACACCCAGTAACCGTATGTTTCATGGAGAATGACTTTTGCTGGATAATGAACTCAGCCTCAGCCACACTGGCCTTTCCTAAGAGGTTTTCTGCCATATTTGACTCCCTTTGCCAATGGATTAACTGGTGGAGTCAAATACCTGGCATTAACCTACGTATGCATGCACTCTACATCATGCTAACCAACAAGGTTAACTACTCAACAATTCAAACTCTAGCCCACCACAACCAGGGCTTATGGTTGTACTCAAGAGGCTAGTGGCAAGTGCCATCTTTTTCATGCAGATCTCTGAATCCAGAGCAGATGCTTTCTATATTTATATATTATACCAAAGGCACCATAGCAACAATAAAGAGAAAATAAAAGGTAGAAAAATCAGCTCCCAATCCCCTACCCCTAATACCACAGCGATTTTCCTACAGGGCTTATCCGTATGCACTTCTATTCTTCATAAATCTGTATTCATAATATACATACAATTTTTTCATTCCCTTGAGCAACTTCCATGTTAGATCTCATTGTAGAGAGACTAAGTTGTCCAAGTATGGCTTCTAACTCTAGTCACTTATATAGCTAGTTCTCTACCTTTATTGAGATAACTTTTTACCTAAAATATCTTAGAATACTTAAATACCTTCATTATTTTGTTTCTTCTAGCAATCAGTCCAAAGCACAGTGTCAGAAAGACCACAACACTTGCAGCAATAATGGGTTCTACTGGTACAGCCACAGCTCTGTCTGTTGAAAATGCAAACACAGGGAATGAGAACTCACACTGATATGCTTCTAATTTATGTACTTCTAATATGTCCCAGCCATGCTGCCTTGCACTTTACATATATCATCCTCTTAATTAAATCCTCCCAACAACCCCAAAGTTAAGTATTATTATTCGCAATTTTACAGGCAAGGAACCAGGGACTTTGAGAAGTTAGTTTACTTTTCCAAAGTCATAGAATTAATAACTGGTAGAGACAGCTCATGAATCCATTCCTTTGTGGATGGTTAATTTATGATAGTATGACTAACTCTCCCAAACAGGACGTCAGACCTTTTGTGCTTCCTTCATTCATAATTTTTGCCATGGAGAAAGCAGAAGTAGGCCGATGTCAATGGCCTGCCTTTTGAAAATCCCAAAAGATATTGAGAAGTAGAAAGAGAGCTTTAAGAGCAAGAAGAGAAAAGGTAAAAAGCCTGCTGGACTAAGAGGAGAGAGGTCTGTGGCACCCAGGAGCAGTGAGGACCCTTGTAGCTGTACCGTGATAGTGCCCCAAGAAGGTGACAAAATATTACAGAAGGTGGCTGCATGATGCCTTTAAGGAAGCAGTGTTCTAAGCACCAGCCTTCCCAACCTTGCCAAAGAATAGTCACACCTCTTTAAATCACATGGAAGAACAGAGAGTCTACTTCTAACTTGGACTAGGAAGAGATCAGTAGCAACCATGACAACCTGGAAATGAAAGCCCATTTCCTTGTTTTCTGAACACCAGGTAGGCTCAGAGCTATTTTGTTCACCAGGCACTATGGGCACAGGTACCTATAATTGTAAGCTTTCTAAGAGCCTTTGAAAACACTTGAGATCTGAAAAAAGTATTGGCTCCAAAATACGTAAAAAATGGCAAGATAAATCAAAATTAATAAATGTTTAAAAATCAATAAAACGTAACTCTTTGTTAACTATAACCCAACTGTTAAGTTATAGTTATGTTTAAACCTTAAGAACCACATTAATAATTTATTTATAATAAAATTCAAAATATAGGCAAGTTGTAAAAATCTTTTCAAAATTTTTACAGAAGAAATGTATATTTAATATGCTTTGTTTTACTATGTTTGATATGATATGGGATGAAAGTTTCAAAAGTAAGAGTATTTAAGGTCAACAAAAGTATTTAAATCACCCTAAGTCCCTGTATTCTGATGTCATCCAAGGAGGGAAAGGAGTTCCAATAGTGGTTAAAATAAAAATTTTAGGAATTTATAGAAAATAAAGAGTACTATTTATTGTACAGTTGAGTTTATGGGGAAGAAATACAGTCAATAGATATTTACTGAATGACTACTGTGTGATAGGTGCTGTGCTTGCCCTTGAAAAAAATGGGCAGACATGAAAGGTTCCTGCCTTTGTGGAACTTGTATTTGAGTGGAGGAGACAGACATTAAACAGACAAAAACTACAGATTGAGATTGATATAAAGGACACAGAGTCAAGAGATAGTATATGAGGAGTAAAAGGCAGGGAGGAGATGGAGAAGGAGACTTTTGATAAATCTAATTTTACAGTCCAAGCCCTATATGCCTCAAGATTATAAAGTAAGTTTTATTCCTCCATAGTTGTATGACACATCAACCAGTTACCTTTTAATTGTTTTCTTCTTCATTTTTTTCCAGTTCCTGCTCAAAACAATTTTGGGAGAGTAAATGGATTAAGCATCCTTTACTCTTGCTCCCTTTTGGTTGTTGCTAAAAATCATTCTCATATGGGTGTGGGTTGCATCAACCCTCTGGAGAAACCCTGCTCAATGGGCCTTCTCATATGCTGTGGCTCTGTAATTGCTAGCCTTGGGACACTCCAAAGGGCCTTCATCTTACTGGGAACCCGCTCTACTTGCAGTATCAAGGAAAGATATCAAAATAAAGGGCAGCAACAGTGGGACAATTAGGGGGAAAAAATCAGGATTCAGTCACAAGTTGGAATATTTTTACCAAGCTGAATAAAATGAAGCTACATGCGACAGCTTTCTCTTCATAAACAAGCTTAAATAAATTGCCTGACTCGTTGGCTCACTTTGGATTCCAAATTTCAGTTGAAAGTGACTTTAGCAAGTGTAATAGCATCTCTCCCCTTGCCCTGTTTTACTCTCTTATTTGTAACCAGATAATCAAGAAAAGATCTGTAAAAATAAATAAATAAAAACAAACAAACAAACAAATAAATAAATAATATTTAAAAAGGAAAATAAAAGATCTGTGATGCCATTTCCAGCTCTGCATGACCTAAGTTAGAAACTACCCCGTAGAATTGTGAAGCTGAGAGTGTCTCATGACAAACTTGGCATTTAGCCTGACTACCAGCAGCAGAGTGCTTATATTGCAAAGGCAGCCAACAACCTAGAAAGTAGTAAAACAGGAAGAAATAAGAAAAACAAGCTGGTTTGGAAGAGCTCCACCCCAAACAGGATTCTGCCCCTCTGAAGCCAATTTGTCAAGCTGGCATCCTGTTTGCCACACAAGCTGTATATTTTTTATGTGACATGGAGCAATCATGATTCCTTCTTAATCAAGAGAGATGGTGTAATTCCCTAGTCTCTGTGTGGTCTTTAAAACCAGTTAGAATGGCATGGCCTGAGGCCACCACCAACCAGGCTTTTGTGGTCTTGGGGGAGGTGAATAGCCACAGGCTTCAATATGGTGCTATTCCACTGATTCTAACCCATGAATACTTAGGTCATTTGTGGGTTTGGTTTTTCAAGCAAGTAGCTTCTTGGCATACTGTCACTGCTCTGCAAGACAAACAACTGAACACACCAGTAATCACAATGATGGGCATTCAACCAGCAGCAGGTTTTTTCTCCCCAGCAGCCACTCTATTGGTGTCCTAGACCCCATGAAGGGGAGGAAATAAGAAGCCCTATTATCACATCAGTCTAACACTTCTGGCAGGTGTTCAGTTAGCTTCTTGGGAACTGGCAAGAAAGGCAATGAGTGAGCACAGGGAGGCAAAAAAGAAAGTAAATAATGTTCTAACAAGATATGGGAGCCTCGACTTGTTTGGTTGCTCCTAGCATACTGTCTCTAGACCAGGAAATATGTGCATGAGCATTTTCTGCATCTGCTACACCAAGTATCTTGCCTCTCTTTTTATATGAAAAAGGAATATGAGGAGAGAAAAACAGTTAGAGTTCATTTGTTCCCTGTATTGCAGGGCTATAGACCTGGGTAGATGAAACATGAAGCCGAGATAAAGAACTTTTACCTCCATTTCCTCCTACCCCCTCTTCTGATTAGCCTATAGGTTTCAATTTCAGAGTAAGGAGTGATTTTAGAGATCCATTTTCTTATCTAGTCAGTATCTTTTTTTCTCTACGTGTTTGTCATTAGGCTGTGAACTTAAAAGTCCAGTTCTTACAAACCTTGTTGCCCAGAATTCATGGAAATACTCCTACATAAAAGCCAACCAGAATCATCTCCTCCACATGGTTCTAGAAAAGGATCTTTGTTCAAAAAGCAGTGTCCTATATAGAATGGGCATATTTCTCCTAAAAGGAAGGACTACAATTCTTAGTGGAAAACTCCTTGGATGGGGACAATTCTTCAAAGAAAATCCTAGCTGCTAATCACAACTTTAATAATCATTCATTGTCATGAAAAATATTTACTGAGCATTTGATCTTAGTTTTGCATTGTGCTGGATATTATTTTAAAAAGGAGTTACCTTTGACAAGGAGGTGAAAGTCCAATGTCTCTATTTTCAGAGATGAATTTGCAAAACAGCTGTAGGTTCCATTGTCAGATTTCTTGACTTTGGTGATTGACAGTTGAAGAGACTCACTTGTCTGTTGGACTTGGTGATGATTTTTCTCTAAATTCAGGATGCTACTGCCTTTGTACCACATCATTTGAGCCTGGGGGTTGGATTTCACATTGCAAACCAACTTCACATCACTGCCTTCCTCAATTGCTTGGAATTGATCTCCACTTAGGAGAGGAGGAACTGCAAGACTCAAGCATTTAGGTTTCATTAGCAGATAAACAACAGTTTACTGTCAGTGTTCAAGATCTTTCTTCAGTCTATTTCATGTACTTACTGATTCATTTGATGAAAATTTATTGAATACTTATTTATTGTATGCCAAGCACTGGGCTAGGAACTGAGGATACAATGATAAAAACAAACAAACAAACAAACAAACAAACATACATCGGTTCCAAACCTCATAGAACTTCTAATGTGGTGGGGAAGACAAACAGTGAAACAAATATATATAATGATGACTCTGTGCCAAGTAGACAATCTGTTACACTCCTCAAGAGTATAAGCTTTCGGTATTTGCTCTCTGAGAGTTAATAAACCAATTTGTGCTAGTGTTGGATAAAACAGTATAATATTAAGAAAGCAGGTATTGCAGTTAGCCCTAATTCCATCTACGTCACTTACTATGACCTTGAGAAAGTTACTTAACTGCTAAGTAACTACTCAGTTTCCTCATCTAAAAAATGAGATAATAGCTACCTCATGAATTGCAGTGAAAATTAAATGAGATAATGCCTGTAAAGAATTTACCACAGTGCTAGTTAGTACTATTATTATCGTGGTGCTGCTGCTGGTGGTGATTTTGGGGGGTCTCACACCCTCTATTTTTGCATGTATCTAACCACATTTGCCCTAGCCACATATTTACCAATGCATATTTGCATTTCCTCAACGATCCTCCATAAATAACGTCCTCCTTCCAGAAGGTGTTCCAGTTGTAACAACATTGGCATTTTGGAAGGTGAGCGTGGCCTTCTGAGTCCCTCTCATCCCTCTGCATGAGCAATTCTCCACTCCTGCCATGATAAGGGCAGTCGTAGACCCATAGATAGTCAAACTCATTTGCCTTCACAAATAATTCCAACCCGCATCCCTAACACCTAGGGAGAGAAATGGCTGAGCTGATTCTCCCTTCTTTTCCATGCCCTTTGCATTTTCTGGCCAAGGTACAAAAGTGTAATAAAATGCTTGAAAAGTGTGCAGTAGGAAAGAGATGAAGACAGAGAAGGAGGAAGAAAGGAGCTTGTATAATCTGAACACTGAATAATTAGACCCTGTGTAGGCTGTGCTATTAATAATTCTCCCAGAAGAATGACATTTTGTTGCTCTTTGGAATGAGCTTGAATTCCATATCCATATCCAAGGATGTTATATGATATTTGGATATGTAAGAAGGTGCTAGAATAGAGAACATAATTGCCAAATATACCAGTCCCAACCAGTTCCACAGGTCCTATTAGTTGTTCATTTTTATTTAAAATTTTTAAATTAATTTTTATGCATATTAGCTGTACATGAGTATTCCCTTTTTAAAAACTAGTTCATTTCGGATATAGTTAAAGTTCTCCTTGACTCCATCCTCATCATTTCCTGACCCCCTTCCCAGAAATATCCACTGCTATGAGTCTGATGTAAACCCTTGCAGATCTTTTATTAAATTAGTTTTTTATACGTATAAGGTACTCCTAGGAAATATATTGTATTGTTTTAGGAGGGTGAGAAGGATTTACATAAAAGACTTCATTCTCTCAATTACTTGCATATTTTTGAGATATATCCACATTGAATCATAGAAACCTAGCCCATTGCTTTTAAAGTGTTATAGTATATGACTCTTAATTATTTTATTTTGATGGACATTAGGTTTTTTCATTTTTAAAATATTTTTAAATGATTCAATAAACATTCCTTGTATATGTTTCTTCATGCACATGTGCATGTGTTTCTCCAAGGTTAACATCCAGAAGTAGAAATGCTGAGTCATAGGGCAGGCACACTTTAAGTTTTGATAGATATTGCAAAAGAGGTAATCTCAATTTATACTTTCAGCAACAACATATGAAAGACCTGTTTCTGTATACACTCCCCCAAATAGTGTATTGTCAACTGCTATTCATAACAATAATAATACTTTCTCAGGATTGTACATGCTATTCTTGTCACTTTTTAAGTGCTCATTTTGATTTATTGATTAATGTGTTTGTGTCGGTTATTAACACTATGAGTCACAGACCAGTTGTTTTTTATATGTGCTTAGCAACAACAATATTTAGGAGGTTGTTATAAAGATGATTTTAAATGTAGATTCAGGTTAGAAAACTGAAAATCATTTTTTAAAGCCACCAAATCGTATTATCGGCATTTCTGCCATGTCTCTCTTACATAGATATAATGGGAAAAATAGTAGCTTAGGAGCCTAGGTATTTGTGTTCTGTTCCCAACTCCAGCTGTGATAATTCGGGCCCAGCCCGAGCCCCAGTTTCTTCATCTGTCATTTTATAGAGATTACAAGACCTCCAAGGTCCACTGACAGTGGATACTATCAAAGTAGGCAGGAAGAAGCTTGCTAAAAATCACATTTTATTAATTTATAGAAAGTAAAAAACAAAGCTTCTTTGCCCAGAAACAAGCAAATGAGTCACTCTGGAAATGCAAGCTGCAGGATGCCAGTATTTGCCAGAGCTGGATTCCTCCACATTTTCTTCATCCTTTTAATCTCAGGAGCAATAGCATCAATTTTTTCACAGAAAAGTTTGCTAAGCTTGAGTCCAGAGCTCTTTTTACCAATCATACCATATTACCACCTTATCCCACATCGCCCTTATCACGCCATCCGCACTACCCTCATGTAGAATCAGCTTTTCCACCTGAACCATGATCACCTACATAAAATCATTTGAAGGACCCATTAACCCCATAGGGTTCCACCAATGGGTTATGAATTTCTAGAACCCAGCCATCAAAGAGTTTCATCTTTGGGGGTTTTAAACATGAACAGCAGATATATTTATAAAAAGATGAACACTCTCATTCTTAATTTAGAAAATAAAAATAAATTTCTTATCAGGCTGGCAAATTTCAAACTCAGTGATCATGAGGGTGTGGGGAAATAGGCACTCTCACACTTTGTTGTGGGAGCATAAATAAGGCAATTTGGCAATATCAAGCAAATGTTAAAATGCATACACTCGTTAGACCCAGATTTCAACTACCACTTTATGTAGTGCAGACAACACAGACTGACTAACAGTTTCTTTCCCCTTACTCACAAATGACATTCAGCACCACTGAGATGGACACCGACTGATCCCTCTGCAGCTTGCAGGTAAAGGTGACTCCGTTGTCGTTTTCGCTGATGGAAGAGACACAGATAGAGCTGGAATTGATTTTGTTTCCAGATTTCAAATCCACTGTCCCTTCTTCTCGGTACCAGAGAAGTCCTTCCTCTCTAGTGTGGTTTTGAATAGCACAGTTCAGAGATTCTTGAAAGCCACGCTGGGTATTCAGAATGTAGTTCTCAGTTTTACCATTCACAGTTAAAACAGAACCTGGGAGTGCAGGAAGAAACTATTAAGATAGAGTGAACAATCTAAATGGCCATAAACAGATTATGTTACATCAGTACAATGGAATACTCTGCAACAATTAAAAACAGTCATATTGATCTATATGATTTTACAAGGAAAAAAGATCCATAATATGTTATTGACTAAAAAAAGGAAAAGGTTAAAATGATGGTTACCAAACTTTGTCACACGTTGGAATTACCTGGAGAATCTTAAAAAACTTACTGATGCCATGTCCCCACCCCCAGACATTCTTGTTTATTGGTATGAGTGCAACTTGGGTATTGGGTTTTTTAAAAGCCCCTCCACCAATTCTAATGCGCAGCGAAATTTGAGAACCACTGGGTTATAAAACAGTATGTACAGAACTACTCCATTCACACATACACACATACACACACACATTTATGAGAAAAATGTTGGGAAAATTTCTATCTATATATATAGAATAAGATTGATAAAAACAGAGAAAAAAGTGGAGAAATACTTACCGGACTTGCTTACCCCAAGGGGTTGGAAGTGGCAAAGTAAGGGGATGGGAGTAGGGAAATACAAAGGAAAGGACTGCAGCAAAATGGAAAAATATTTAAGATGTAACATTAGGTAAATAGGCAGAATATAAACTGCATCTCTAATATTACTGTAAATATATCAACATTGAATGTGCATATGGGTAAACAATTCTGATTAGATGATAGGATTTGGTCCTGCATTTCTGATGTTTTAATATTGTTTTGGCAGTGTAGTAAAATAAAAAGATGTTTAAACAGCTGTGGTTTGTGGGGTAGACAAGTTGTTGTGGGATGGATTATCGGGATATATACTAGTTTATTTTCATCTCTGATTTTTAGAAATCCATTCATTGTATAGTAACATATTTGAATTTCAGTTTTTACTTTCCTGGTTCAGAAGCAAGCAGCAAAAGCTAAAAATTACTTTAGCTGCCACAAACTTGCCCCCTACATCATATTGGTTAATATATTCTGTAAACATGTTAGCTTTTCCTTTAAAAAGCATAAACTACTAGAGGAAATAATGAGATGGCTGCCTAGTATTTTTTTAATCTGGAAGAATATACATGTTGAGTGGTTTATCTTTGGACAATGGGATTTAGGGAGATTTTTAATTTTCTTTGTTCTTTTATATATTTCCTAATTTATTTTACAACGACTATGTATTACTTTTGAAGTCTGGGGCCAGAGAAAGCTACTTCCAGATTGGGGTGGAGAGCAAGTGCAGGAAAAATTTTTGTGTAAGTGTTATGTTCAAATAAATGGCAGAAGATTATTTTGGATATGATTAGTAATGAAATGCATTAAAATGTAGAAAAATTCTGGCTGTGGCTCTGGAGAGAATAGAATACAGAATACTTCACCCTGCTTATAATATCAGAACCATAAAAATATTTTTCCATTTAATTTTTTATTATGTTATTTGACTCTTGTACTCAGCTATACTAACTATGTAGTCATTTCAATTTAATTTTGGATAGTCCCAATGCCCACTTATCATTTTTTTAATCTGAAATTTTTCTTTATTTAAAAAGAGGCCAAAAAGAATATGAACTTACAGGTCATCTCGTGCGGCAGAAATAAAATCACTAAGAGAAGATAGCTGCGCATTCGCATTAGTCCACTGCTCTTCCATGCCATCTTTAATGAATTTGAGCCAGATCTGTCAGGGGGAAGAGTGCAGTTATTTCTGTACTTTAGTCTACACTGGGTTTATGAACCCTTTTCTTATCTATTATGCACCTACAATGAAGTCCCAGACGAATCATCCCAATTATAACGGTATTATTTCTAGTTTTTAAACAATCCTGTTCTGACTACTTCAGTTTCCAAGTACTTTTGGTATTAAGATATATTTTTTAAGACAACAAAAAAGAAAAACACAAGGAAATAAGTTATAAGATATAGGGAAGCTACAGGGCAGCTCTGGGGAAGGTAAAACCAGACTTCCCTAGAGAAATTGAGACTGTCATTTTATCAGAAAGAGAAATGAAACTTGCTTCATTCTCAGAAAGTCTCTGCTGAACAAAGTGAATCTTGTTTTGAAAGCCTCTCTTGGGTCATTTTTGTAAAGGTGCCCTCTACTAACAAGAGTTTTTGAGACTATTCCAAATCCCGTAGATTCAATACTTTGTACCTTAGAAAAGACTCAATTGCAACATATTCTCTAGTCTTACACATGTTAATGGTTTCTGCCATCCTTCCACTACTGTCCCCCTCATAAAACTCCTTCCCCTTGACCTAGTATAGACTGAAAATAATAAGTAATAAAGGCCTCTTTTCTCCCTTCTTCTGTGTCTTGGCTGCTGCCATCCCTCTCCCTAAAATATTCTCCATTTCCATCTAGAAAAATGTGTATTTATTATTTTCTTTGGTCTACCATGCCACGTGAACGTGCCTGATCTCAGAAGCTAAGCAGGGTCAGGGCTGGTTAGTACTTGGATGAGAGGTCCCAAAGACAGTAAATGTCAGGGCTAAAATTTGAACCCAGGACTCTCAAGACCATGTTTTTTACCATCCTACTGCCTAGAGTAATATTCTTTTCCTTTAAGAAACTGCCATTAATCCCTTTCAGTCCCTGGCCACTCCACAGACCTTAGCAACTTGGAGTTTTATATTAACTTTCAAGAGCTGGAACATGCCTATGACTTCTTTGGGCCTGCTCTGTTTCTCCCCATCCCGGACCTGTCCTGATAGGAACAAGTATCATCCCTGCCAGGCTCACCCTTTCTGGCTGGCAAGCCTGCATTAATCTTTCAATAAGATGTATTTAGTACTAATATTGATTCTTTTATAATTTTAAAATTTTGCAGAAAGATTGCTATCCCAGCATTGTAACAGTGATGATTTCAGAATTTGATCATTAATAGAGTTGTTTCAAGCACTGTCCCCTGTAGGTTCTCAATAAAAACTGAAAGTATGGATTTCTTGGCAGGGCTCTTGCAAACCTGTTAAGGAGGAAGATTGATGTCTACCTTTCGCTTCCACCCCACCAAGACGGCAACTTTTCAAAATGAATTTCCCTCACTTGATTTGTTTTTAATTTTCATGACTCTCTATTTTCTATACAAGACAAAGACTGACCACTTAACTGCTGAACTCTAAGAGCGAACTTCCTCTGTCAATTGTTCCTCTGTCTGAGAATCCTTTCCCTGTTGCCATCTTTATAATACTTGAATTTGAACACTTTATGACAGTAGGTCGTGTAAATCATTAAAGTGGGTTCAAAGTCTGTTTCTCTTTATGGATTCTTAGAGAAGACAATAATTGGGAGACATTTTCTTAAGATCTAAGTGTTTATATGTACCTAAGTTATTAAGTGGGACCAGATATTACTAATAGGAATGTAATTTTTCCAAGAAAGCCTGATCTTACACAAAAATTTGTAGCTCATCTCACTGAATATTGTCATGCTCAAATTAGATGACTGTGCTTTGCTAATCTGTCTGCCTGAGAATTGTGGTGGAAGCAAGTCTGAGGAGAGGTTTGATTTTCACAGCAACCAAAACATTAGAAGACTCCATACAACTTAAATAGTGCTGGAAAAGTATCACTTACTACTAGTAATCCAAACCCATTGTGTAAGCTGTATCAAGCTAGCCATGGATGGGGAAAGTTTTATCCCTTTGAGACTCTCACCTGATTGGGGAATCCTTGCTTTACACTTATAAGAATTGGCAATTGAGGGTAAAAGACACATATGTTTATGGTGTTATTACAATGTGAGTTTTATCTGACAAGTACTATTGTTCTCATTTATATGAGAATAGAATATATAGTATTTGTGGTTATCTGCATATTTTAGCATATTGGTTAAGCACACCAGGGATCTGCCTCTTATTAGCTGTGTGACTTCAAAAAGTTATTTAACTCTATGTGCCTCAGATTCTTCATCAATACAATGGGGAAAATAATAGGGCCCTCCCTACAAAGTCAGTATGAGGATTAAATGAAATAAAGCATGCAAAGCGGCCACACAGTAAGCTCTTAATAAGCAGTAGCTATTGTATTTTTAACATAGGCTTGACAGGGCATAATAAATAAGTACGGGCCTCTCTGTAGCATTGTTCCAGTAAGAACCGTAACTAAGAGCAGTTCCTCCTGGCTGGGCTTCAAGAGCCATCTTAAGCAGGTTTTGAGTTTGCTTCTCTATAGTTCTAAGAGCAGAGCATTAAACTTTTATCATTTAAAAATGAATTTAGCAATGAATTGATGACTTGGTTCCAGGTCCCTCCAAAACAGACCCTAAGACAAAGCTTTGGCTGTGAGTATTTATTTAAAGCTGATCTCAGGAAGCATAGTAAGGAAGTGAGAAGGAGAAGGGAGGAAAACCAACAAAGGGTCTGTCAATAAACAGATTACTGCTGTAGGCAACTGTCACTGTGGGCCCTTTGACAAGTTCTGTGGAATATACCTCAGAATTAACTCATGAGGGGGAAGGAAGCTCCGGTATTTATCCACCGATTTCTCTCCATCATTGATTGAGGGACACTCTTGCACTTCCAGCCTGCCCCATGAGGGCAGAGTGCACTCCCTCTGTCCAGCACTAAATGTTTAGGCAAAGACACTTAGGAATTCACCTGCTATATATAGGAACTATTTATAGGTGATCTCTAGGCCAGCCAAAGGTATGTGGGTAGGGCTCCAGCATCAACTTCTATAACTGGATATTAAATGATTTCAGGAAATAATGGCTAATTATTTTTACGTGTGATAATGGTATTGCAGTTATATAGGAGAATGTTCTTAGGAGATGCCTGCTGAAATATATATGGATTAAATGTGATGATGATTGCAAGTGTCAAGTGATTCAGCAAAAATAAATACATACGTACACATACATACAAGCAAATATAGCAGAAATTAACACTTAATCTGGAATCTACATAGGGTTAAATAAATGTTCATTATATCATTCTTTACACTTTTCTGCATATTTGACATTTTCATAATTAAAATGTTAGGGGAAAATATTTAGCAGTTTTTATTGAGCATCCTCTATGTGCTAAGAACTCTAAGTACTGGGGATGCCAGTGCCATCCAAGCCAATATCTTTATCATGAATTAATAAAATACTTGGCTTCTCAAATCACTCTACTGCCATCTGTGGAAAATTGTTTTATGCAAATCTGTAACATCTACAAGATGAATAGTACTCCCTGAATCCCACAAAGAGATACAAAGGTGAGCAAAACAAAACTCCTGGTCTTCAAGGGTTTTACATTCTAGAGGAGAAAGCTAATGATGGTCAGGAGCCAGGTCAGAGTTTAATCAGTGCTGGAGAGGGATTTCAGAATTTAAAAATGGTATCATGGTGCCTCTTCTGGAGAGTCAAAGAAATGACAAGTCCACAGTCATGTAAGTCGCCCCTGGAACATTCTTTCCTGGACCTAATAAATAGGGGAAACCATTTCGCCATAAGTAGTGAAGCCTAGTAGTTAACCATTAAACCTAAGTAGGTTGGCTGTTTGGAGTATTAACAGAGTCCAATACTACACAGCTTCCACAAGTAACTCAAGTGCAGAGGGAAAGAAAGAATGCAGCCTTGAATCTGGAAATTCCTGGGAGTACAAACCAATCTGTTCCACATCAGGCTCATGCACTTCTGGACAGAGAAGGGGGTCCAAGAAGTGGCAGCCAGGGCCTTCTGATTTAGGTGAGAATAAGAAGCACCTGGGGAGTCTCCAGGCACCTTTCCTTCACTGGTTCTGATGAGATTTAGGAATCTCAACTTTAACAACCAAATTAGATGACTGTGCTTTGGTAATCTGTCTGCCTGAGAATTGTGATGGAGGCAAATTTCTCGTGATTTTGAGAAACACGAGCTATAGGACTAAGTATTTATGAGAGTGACAAAGGTGGAAGACTTTCAACTAAGAGGAAGTGCCTAGCACAGTCTTTAGTGCGTGGTGGGTACTCAAGAAATAGCAGAAGGAAGGAAGGAAAGAAGGAAGGAAGGAAGGAAGGAAGGAAGGAAGGAAGGAAGGAAGGAAGGAAG